TATTTAACAACCACTTCCGATGTCTTCCTGTTCCCATAGGATGCAGTCTTCGTAGTATCGTGTTTCTCGAGAACTACGTCACCCTTTCAACTAACTGGGTTAGTTCTTTTTAACTTAAAAATATTTTCCGTTGAGTAAAATTTGTCAAAATTTCAATAAAGAAATGTTTCTTCGAACATGAAAATTTGATTGAAATTAATTATTGAAACTTATTCATTCAATAATTTAGATGTCAGTGAAATTCGTAAAATTATTACTATTAAAGTGCTTATTGTTAAATGGATAGAAAAAAAAAAGTTGCGATATTTGCGTAAGTTTGCGATTAGGTGAAGATTGAGATTTAGTTTGTGTTTGTGTGTGTACAAAACAAGCTGCGAGAGTTTTGCTGCATGTCCAACAGACATGCAAGAGACATTTATCTAGTGCAAATATTTTAACTGGCAATCTGCATCGCTGGCGCCTACAATTTTCGGCAAACAGAAGAAATATATATAAATTTATTTGCAGCTCATAGCAGGCGACTCGATGACAGCATAAAGTTATAGGAAGGCAAAATATTCAGCTTTCATACGAGTGGTGGATGATGTAATTACCTATAGGGGTTGTCGAGAAATTCAAGAAAAACCGAAATGTATGTATGTGTTTTTTTTTTAATTTCTACAGCTCATATCAGGCGACTCGATGACAGCACGAAGATGTATGTAGGCTTGTTGGAAAGGCAAAATATTCTGCTTTCATACGAGTGGTCGATGATGTAATTACCTTTAGGGGTTGTCGAGTAATTCACGAAAATCTGGAAAAACTTAATAAAAAACGAGAAAAAAATGTTCTTCACCTTATAAAAGGCGACTCGATGAAACTACAAAGATGTATGTAGGCGCGTTGGAAAGGTGAGATATTCAGCTTTCATACGAGTGGTTGATGATGTAATTACCTTTAGGGGTTGTCGAGAAATTCACGTAAAACCGAAAACACTGAAAGAAACACGAGAAAACCGTCGTTTCTCTGTTGTGTATAAGACGTTAAGTATGTGTTTTTTTTTTCAATTTCTACAGCTCATAGCAGGCGACTCGATGACAGCACGAAGATGTATGTAGGCTTGTTGGAAAGGCAAAATATTCAGCTTTTATACGAGTAGTCGATGATGTAACTATCTTAAGGGGTTGTCGAGTAATTCACGAAAATCTGGAAAAACTGAATAAAAACGAAAAAAAAATGTTCTTCAGCTTATAACAGGCGACTCGATGAAACTACAAAGATGTATATAGGCGCGTTGGAAAGGTGAGATATTCAGCTTTCATACGAGTGGTCGATGATGAAATTACCTTTAGGGGTTGTCGAGAAATTCACGAAAAACCGAAAACACTGTAAAAAAACGAGAAAACTGTCATTTCTCTGTTATGTACAAGACGTTAAGTATGTGTTTTTTTTCATTTTCTACAGCTCACAACAGGCGACTTGATGACAGCACGAAGATGTATGTAGGCTTGTTGGAAAGGCAAAATATTCAGCTTTCATATGAGTGTTCGATGATGTAACTATCTTAAGGATTTGTCGAGAAAATCACGAAAATCTGGAAAAACTGAATAAAAAATGAGAAAAAATGTTCTTCTGCTTATAACAGGCGACTCGATGAAACTACAAAGATGTACGAAGGCGCGTTGGAAAGGTGAGATATTCAGCTTTCATACGAGTGGTCGATGATGTAATTACACTCATAGCAGGCGACTCGATAATAGCACGAAGATGTATTTAGGCTTGTTGGAAAGGCAAAATATTCAGCTTTCGTATGAGTGTTCGATGATGTAACTATCTTAAGGGGTTGTCGAGTAATTCACGAAAATCTGGAAAAACTGAATAAAAAACGAGAAAAAAATGTTCTTCAGCCTATAACAGGCGACTCGATGAAACTACAAAGATGTATGTAGGCGCGTTGGAAAGGTGAGATATTCAGCTTTCATACGAGTGGTCGATGATGTAATTACCTTCAGGGGTTGTCGAGAAATTCACGAAAGACTGTAATTTATATATGAATCAAACGTGCATTGCGAAATCCTACTGCTATTAGATTATTTAACAACATTTAACCGAAGGGTGTTCCCTTTTTTTTTTCCAAACGATTTTAACTGGAATTTCATTTTCGTTGTTACTTTGGCGTCTGTCGTTCAGGTAAGAGGAGACGCTTTTGTGATTCCAGAACCAACGTCTTTTACCATTCAGTTTACCTTCACGTGTTTCCAAGAAATTTTCAATGTTACACACACACACACACACGTCGATTTCCTTCTCTTCTCATCTCTACATCTATTTGCGAAATTTCTGGACAATCTTTGTCGGAATTTATTTTTTTTTTTCTTGAATGAAAACAGTCCCATTTCTTGTGCAACTCAACATTTGCCTCACGCTCCAATGAATTATGGATTACGCAACTTCTCTTTTCACATGAAATTAACACGTTCTTAATGCTTCCTCTTTTTTGTTTTTTTCTCTCTATATACATGTAAGAAAATCGGTGATGATCCGGACGGAATTTTTATTGTTCAGTTCATTCATAAATAATGCATTTCTCGAAAAAATCTGAAATTCCAATCCGAATATTATCCGTGAAAGACATTTTTAATCGATTTTTCCATTTTTTGATCAAGTTTTCCTTGATAATTACATCACCCTCGCAGATATGAATCATTCATTTGTCGTTCACGTCGTTTGTTTATTTAAAACGCATTCTTGATTTTATTTTTAAATATTATAGAATACGCATTTCATAGAATCATTCTTAAACTTGAAAGATTTACTAAAGACTTTGGATCAATTATAAATGTTTGTTGATTTCTTCAATGAAAACTCCTATTGCTTAAGCTAAATCTTAGTACTTGAAACTCGTAAAACATTGAACTGTTAGTAAATTCTATCTGGTTAAATAAATATGAAGAACGAGATGATTCGGTAAATTGCGTTGATGAGGGTTGATTGTTACAATCTGTTACACATTCTGCTTTATCAAGAGTCACATTGTTATCACTGAACTAAAGTATTTAGTGAATACTATTGCTTACAGTGTGCACATGTTTTATATCCACCAATTTCAGACCCTCTGCAAAATATATATTGCATATGTTCACATTTCCACGCTCGTCGCATATGCCCTCTTCGATCCACACATTGCCACGTGCCGCGCCGTCTGCTCTCTCCGGAACTTCTTTGTTGTATCCAACATCTGCCTTTACAATCATCTCTTTCCTCGACGATCGTCGCCTCTAGTTCCACTCATTCCTCACACACACACACACACCACGTGAAAGGAAGCACACGAAATGCGTATCTTCCTCCGCAACAACTAAATAACTTTTACCTTATGCCTAATGAGAACCGACCACATGTCCCAAAAATACAAACGTTGCGAAAATCGAACTTTTCCAAAAGAAAAAAAAACCCTTTTTATATAATGAAAACTCTGTAAACTGATCCTTGATCCGTTCCGGTCATCGTCGAAGAAGACAGGTGTTATGGAAGAAGACCAGAAGCTTTGGCAAAAGAGAATTAATCTGGAGGAGGAGATCCCGTGAGAGAAATGTATCTGTGCGCGTACCTGAAGACCATGAGAAAGATCTTCATTCGGAGGGCCCGTGGGAAGGAACCCTCTACAAATATTACACACGTACACCCTCTTTATAAAAGAAGCAAAAAAAAAATTGGAAGAATCCTTTCTTTTAGATCCGCCGAAATCCCATTGAAAACTACAGAAAATGTCCCAATTCGATCTTCAATAATCAATTTTGTAATTCGTTTCAATATTTGTAAAAAAAAACAATTGATTTCAGCAAATTATTCAATTTATTGACACTTATAGTCTTAAGTTATTAAGAATCTGCTTAAAAACTACGATTAATGTGAATGATACAAAAGTTTAAAGTTTATTATATGGGGATATAGCTCAGTGGTAGAGCATTCGACTGCAGATCGAGAGGTCCCCGGTTCAAACCCGGGTGTCCCCTCAATATATCTTTTTTTGTTTTTCAACTAACATAAAATAATTATAAATTTGATTATAAGAAATATTTTTAATTTCTAGTAGTTAGAATATATACGCTTTTTGTGTATTGATGTACAATCTAATAATTTAAGTTCGCTTAAGATTTCTTTTGTTTTAACTGGCTTTAAGTAAATAGAGGTGGAAACAATGGTTAAATATGTGAAAAGCAGGAAGCAGCCGGCGCTGGAATGCATTTAAAAAAAAATATGAAGGGGTTGCTTTTGTTATATCAGGAAGGAACATCTTGAGGCGCTTCCGGCTCTGGCATTCCATCTACATCCTGCACAGTCTTAATCTCATCGAAGTCTTCCAGTGATTTTTTATTATTACAAGATTAATATGCGGGCACGTTTCAATACAATCAAACTAAAAACAAAGCTATTAATAAAAAGAAAACTAATTAATTGTAATGCTTAATTGCAATTAACACATCTTAAGTATTAATTAAAGTAATTAGTATTTTAATTAGTAATTAGAGAATAACTAATTAGAGCGTTAATCACGTAGAAACTAGTGGACTTCAGGTTTTCCAAACTAAAATATTATTTTCAGCTCCATCTCTATTTCTTAATGCTATGCTTCTAGTTCAGCACTTTCTGCGCTGCTCAAATTTAGATTTGCTATTAAATGCTTTAATTTAATAATGTTATTTATTAATATACGCTTTCTCGTTTTGCTTATTTAAATTATTAAATATTTGCTTAAAATATTATTAATTAATGTAATTATGGGCGATTCATTTATCAGTTGCAGCGCCATCTGGCGGAAGGCGCTCGATAATTCTGATTTGAATTTAAAAGCGTAAATGTTATTTGTTGATTAATATTAAGATTATTTTATTATTATATTTAGGATAATTTCATTAGGATAATTCTTAAGGTAAAAGATTTGTTTGATTTATTTTGAAATTGTAGAGTTCTGCTTTAACGTTACTTTTCTTATAAGATTAAGGTTAGTTTTGGCGCGATTTTGTATGGAATCAACAGTTGAATGGTCGGTGGTGGCTGTGTGTTGTGTATTTGTTTTAAGTTTTATTTGTTGATTGTTATGAAAGATGGATGTTAACGACGCGCATGTTGGTCAAATTAAAGTCAGAGATGATATCGGCGTCAGATGCCAGAAGTTGTTCTTAGATTTCCTTGAAGAGTAAGATTTTTGTAAGAAATGTTGCTTGTGCTAATAACATGTTGTTTGTAGATTCAAAGAGGACGGAGAGTATAAATATTTGGAGCCAGCCAAGGAGCTGCTGCAGCAGGAGAGAAGTTTAATAGAAATCAGCTTTGAAGATGTTGAGAGGTACAATCAGAACTTAGCCACAACCATCATCGAGGAGTATTACAGGATCTATCCGTACCTGTGTCAGGCAGTCTCCAATTTCGTCAAAGATAGATCCGAACTGAAGGTTTCCAAAGATTGCTACGTTAGTTTTGTGGATGTGCCTACCAGGCATAAAGTGAGAGAGTTGAAGACTGAGAAAATCGGAACCTTGGTTAGGATTTCTGGTCAGGTTATAAGGACGCATCCGGTGCATCCCGAACTGGTTTTGGGTACATTCGTGTGCGTTGATTGCCAAACAGTTACCAAGAATGTGGAGCAACAATTCAAGTACACGAATCCGACGATCTGTAGAAATCCCGTCTGCAATAACCGCGGGAAGTTCGTTCTGGACGTTGATAAATCGACGTTCGTCGATTTCCAGAAGGTGCGTATTCAAGAAACGCAAGCGGAATTACCTAGAGGCTGCATTCCCCGGAGCGTCGAGATCGTGCTGAGGGCGGAAAACGTCGAAATGGTGCAGGCTGGAGATCGTTACGATTTCACGGGAACGTTGATCGTCGTGCCTGATGTTGGGGCGATGTCTATGCCAGGAGCGAAGGCTCAAATCAACTCGAGACACAAAGGTGGAGATGAAACGGAAGGTTTACGCGGATTGAAATCGCTGGGTGTACGCGATTTGCATTACAGGATGGCCTTTCTGGCGTGCAGCGTTCAACCGACGAATCCACGATTCGGAGGTGTCGAAATGCCTTTGGACGAGATAACGCCGGAGATGATGAAGAGGCAGATGACAGAGGGAGAATGGAAGCACATGTACGAGATGAGCCACGACAGGAATCTGTACAATAATCTGATAACCAGTCTGTTTCCGAGCATCCACGGCAATGACGAGGTGAAGAGGGGAATACTGTTGATGTTGTTCGGCGGTGTACCGAAGATTACAGTTGAGGGAACAACGCTGAGAGGTGACATAAACTGTTGCATCGTCGGTGATCCGAGCACGGCGAAATCGCAGTTCCTCAAGCAGGTTTCCGAGTTCGCTCCGCGCGCCGTTTACACGTCGGGAAAGGCCTCCTCCGCGGCCGGTTTGACAGCAGCCGTCGTCAGAGATGAGGAATCTTCTGATTTCGTCATCGAAGCCGGTGCTTTGATGTTGGCGGACAACGGCGTCTGCTGCATCGACGAATTCGATAAAATGGATCCACGAGATCAGGTGGCCATCCACGAGGCGATGGAACAGCAGACCATCTCCATAGCGAAAGCGGGAGTTCGAGCGACCCTCAACGCGAGAACTTCGATCTTGGCCGCCGCGAATCCGATCGGCGGACGTTACGAAAGGAACAAATCGTTGCAGCAGAACGTCGCCTTCTCGGCTCCGATCATGTCGCGTTTCGATCTTTTCTTCATCCTGGTAGATGAATGCAACGAGGTCGTCGATTATGCCATCGCCAGGAAGATCGTCGACCTGCACAGCAACGTGGAGGAGGAGCACGTGGATCGCGTGTACAGCAAAGAGGAGATTCTACAGTACATAACTTTTGCGAAAAAGTTCAAACCGATGATCAACAGCGAGGCCGCCGATATGCTGGTGAGGAACTACAATCATCTTCGTTTGAGAGACACGACGAGCAGCGGGAAATCCACGTGGAGGGTGACCGTCCGTCAATTGGAAAGTATGATCCGACTGGCGGAGGCGATGGCCCGAATGGAGATCTCCGAGGAAGTGCAAATAAAGCATGTCAAGGAAGCGTTCAGGCTAATGAACAAGAGCATCATCAGGGTAGAACAACCGGACATTCATCTGGACGACAACGACGGACCCATGGTGGAGGATGAAGTTTCTACTGTCGAGGAGGAATCGCAACCCGTTAAGAAGAAGCTGGTTCTTAGTTTCGAGGAATACAAGACGCTGAGCAACATGATTGTAGTGCACATGAGGCGGGAGGAGACTAAATGCGAGGAGGAGAATCGCGAAGGGTTGAAACGCAGCGATCTTATAGAGTGGTATTTAACGCACATCGCCGATCAAATCGAATCCGAGGATGAACTGCTTGTGAAGAAGGAACTAGTGGAGAAAGTCATAGAAAGGCTCATATATCACGTAAAATCAATAACACACAACAAATACAACTATTTAATTTTCATCTCCTTTTAGGACCAAGTCATAATTCCATTAACCAGAGTAGGATTGAAGGGTGGCAACGATCAGACGGACGAAGAAGACCCCACACTTGTGGTCCATCCAAACTACATAATCGATCAATGAGCTCTTCGTTTATTTTAATGTAACCCATATTGTTTCCAATAAAATTTTATATTTTTGTGTATTTTACTCTTACTTAATCATTCGATCGCCACGCACACTACATTGGGCTATCCAATGATTAATTGTAAATAGTTGATAAATTTAAATCTTTGGTTCATGTCTCAGCTAAAATATTTCAAAACCGGACATCTCGTATCAATATTCCTAAGATTATAGTTCAGTCATTTCTGCGCTGTTTCAATCAGGACTTTTTTTTTAATTAGAGCACTAATTGGAAAAGTAAATAAGCTAAAATGTACATTTGCTGTATTGTAATTCAATAATTTACTCTGTTCTTTGCTGAAATGTATATTAATCAAGTTATTAATGATTAAACATTTGCATGTTGCGCCATCTATTGAAATGATATTTTTATAACAATTTAAATTTAGATACTTTCTATTAGAATACTGATTTTAAACTGTTTCTAATAGAATATTGGGTTTCATATATATATACAATCGAAACATATGTTTCTTAGAAAATATTTATTTGTTGCCAGTATAACAAAATGAACATTAGATGAAATGAAAAGTAACAAAATAATAGAAATAAATTAATTTAATTTATTTTACAAAGTTTAAGCAGCAAGCTTGGACCTGGAGCTGACGGCAACATATGCAATACCAACAGAGAGAACGGCGGCCAAGAATTCGCTCTTCAACCATGGACCGTTGAACGCTCCCGGATGGTGGACGGAGACGTCGACGAAGGAGGCGATGGCAGAGGTGTCTTCGCCGGCTCTCAGGGCTTTACGGATGGCAGTGTAACTGACTTCGTCGTAGATCTTCACCACTTTCTCACCGCTGCGGGCAACTTTGTTGTCCTCCGACCAGCTGACTTGATATTGGTTCTCTCCGACGACGGAAACGGGGACGACGTTGCCCTCGAAGCTGGCGTAAAGGTTGCCGACGACTCCAGATGCGCACTTGATCGAGAACTCGGTGATGTAGGCGATGTTGGCCACGATCGTTCCATCCTGCGTGGTGAATTGCGTCGAGGTGACTTCGGGGGATTTGCAGGCGCTGCACGCACCCAGCACGAAGGCGACGAAAAGGAACACGTTGGAATTCATGGCTCTGCAGATGTTTTTTCAGTCAGAAAACGGACGAACGAACACACCAAAAATAATGTTCTTCACACGAAAGTCTTGAAACGAATGGCAGACAGGTCAACAACAACGTAACCAAATCGACAACAATTCGTGGCACGTCGACGGCTACGTTGTACGCATCCGCAGGTGCACCAACATACAGGAACAACTCAGAGAACGTGCAAATAAAGTTGCATAACTATTTATTATTAATAAATTGATTAACTGATCATTTATAAGCTTTCTTCGACCTCCAATCCAAATACTCATCGAAATCCTCATCGGAGCTACTCGACTCCGCCGACTTCTCGTCCATCCTACTCTCGTTCTCCTTCAAGCTCGCCATCATCTGATCCTTCTTTTTCTGCAAATTCACCACCCTCGACAGGTACCTCAATTGCTCGTCAATTTCATCGATTTGCCTTTCATTGGTCGCCTCCTCCTGATCTTCAGCTATTATCGCAGCGCTCTCGTGATTCGCATCTTTCATCTCCCTTTGAAACTTATCCCATTCCTCCTCAACAGGATCTTTGTACTCTATATTTCGTGCCTAATCAAAAAAAAAAAACAATTAAATTTTAAACAAAATAAATCAATTTAATTATCACCTTAGCATCCAACTTTGGATCATCGAAGAAACCCTCCGGCAAACTTTCAGCATCAACTTCCATCTGCTCCTCTTCTTTTTTAGTCACCTCCACTTTCTTGTTGTTATCAAAGAAATCACTTGGCAAACCCTTCTTCGTCTCAACATCACCAGCGACCACAGTGATATTCGATTTAATCACAGTTTTACTCGGCTCTGAATTTTTCAAGATCCCTTTAACTTTCTTCGAGGGAACGTCCAGAGGAGGCGTCAACGGCCGTTTCAGCGCGGTCGTAAAATTGTTTGTCTTCTCCTTAAGTCTCTTCGCCTGCTCGACATTGAGTCTGTGCTGTTTCGCATTCAAATGGATGGGCCAAACCGCCTCGGATCTGACCACAGATTTGCACAGCACACAGGTCAGCTGGCCTGCTTCGTTGTACGTGAAAAACAAATGCTAAGGAAAATTGTTTACAGACACACAGTTGGCTAACAAACAAAACACAAACAATTGCAGTTAAATAATTAAAAAAAAAAAAGGATATTTTGCTAAAGGGGAATCGATCTTCTTGACCGCTATCTTTTGCGTTTTCTCCTTGTGCTCGTGCATGAACTTCCGCAGCTCGGATTGGGATAACTTCTTTTTCGCATTCTTGAACGTCGCCGACATCGCTGACCACTAGATAATTCGCTATTGTTTACTAAACAAAACATAACCTCGTCACATAACTTCGGGACGACACTTATTTGCAAACTATCGTAGTTCGAACACTTTGGCGCTGCCGAAGACAATTCGAAATAGATTTTAAATATTTAAAATTCAAATATTTGAATATAAACAGTTTAATTGTTTGTTAAAGTTGTAAATTATGTTTAGGAATTTAACGAATTCTCATGTTTGTTATACTGTTTCTTTGTTTTGTTGTTGCGGTTGCAGCAAATCATAAATAATGACTAAGGATTATCATCAAATAGTTTGGGGAAAAGTAATAGGAAATTCGTTTTACTTAGAAAATAATTTATTTAAATTACTTAAGTTACACAAAATGGTTACCCAACAAATAAGTTTCGTTGATATAGAAAGCGCCTTCAAGTAAATCCTTGCTGATTTCCTTCAACTATTCCACATGGCTACAAAAGAGAAATACAAGAGAATTAGTTGCGATGGAAAGCAAGAGGTGAGACGGTACATACGGAATGGTCCATGCATTAAGTGTTGTTAGTAAACTAAATCTTCGTTTTATTTGGGTTACATTTTATAATAATTGGGTTAATTAATTAATTGTTAATATAAAATAATTAAAACATGATCGATTCGACGAGATCTGATACGTACACGATGCGGAGGGTGTTTGTGAAGCCGGAGCCCTGCTTCCAGCCAGTCACGACGATGACCGGATCTCCGGTGTTGATGAATCCTTTGGCCTTGCCGTGGAGGATGCCGAAGTTGACGCGCGAGTCCACGTCCTTCAGCCAATCCTGGTTTTTGGGCTCTGCAAAACAACAAACAGATTTATTAATAATTTGATTGGTTTATCGTTGATTTTCGTACCAGTGTAGACGAGTGGAAGGATGGCCCTGAAGAGATGCGCCTGTCGTGCGGTTTGCGGTACGCGAGTGACCGCGATGATCGGACACCTGGGTCTGTACTTGGAGATGAGGTGAGCGGAACGGCCGGACGTCGTGATCACGATGATCGCGGAGGCGAGGCATTTCGCGGAAGCCTCGACGGCGGCGATCGCGATTGTGTGCGCCACGTCCACGGGAGCGATGGCCATGTTCACCAGATCGGTGAAGTGACGCTTCTGCCAGATGGCAGCTTCCGCCTCCTTGCAGATGTTGGCCATCGTGAGCACGCATTCCAGAGGATAATCGCCCTTGGCCGTCTCACCAGAGAGCATAACGCAATCCGCACCGTCCAAGATAGCGTTCGCGACGTCCGAACTCTCGGCCCTCGTCGGCCTCGGCTTCTTCACCATCGACTCGAGCATCTGCGTCGCGCAGATTACCGGCTTACCGAACCTGTTGCACCTTGCGATCATCGACTTTTGCGCCAGAAACACCTTCTCCGTCGGTATCTCGATGCCCAGATCTCCCCTGGCCACCATAATACCATCGGAAGCCTTGATGATCTCATCCAAATTGTCGATCCCCTGCTGATTCTCGATCTTCGACACGACGACGATGTTCTTTCCCTTCTCGCCGAGCAACGAACGGATATCCGTCAATGCAGAAGCGTCACGGATGAACGACGCGAAGATGATGTCCAGCTCCTGATCAATAGCGAACTGAATATCGGAACGATCCTTCTCGGAAACTGCTGGCAAATCCACAGGCACACCGGGCAAATTAACGCCCTTCCTGCTTCCCAGCATTCCACCGTTCTCGATGGTACAAATCACAGTCGATCCTTGGATGCCGGTGCACACGAGCGAGATGAGACCGTCATCGATGTAGATCTTATTGTCCACCTGCACCACCTTCTGAATATTATCGTAATCCACGTAGATCGTTTGCGCGTTTCCCTTCTCCATGTACGCCTTGTCCGTGGACAATTTAATCGTGTCTCCCTTCTTCAGTTCAACCTCAGCGCTTCCACCCTACAAGCAATAAGCAATAAGAATCATCACAATTTCATAACAAATATATTGAAATTACCCCTTCCAGAAGACCCGTACGAATCTCCGGTCCTTTGGTATCGAGTGCGATCGCCAACGGGTAAAGCATACCCAACTTCCTGCTGTAATTCGCCGCGGCCGCCCTCAAATTCACGATGGTCTCCGCGTGGTACTCGTGCGATCCGTGCGAGAAATTCAAACGGGCAATGTTCATTCCCGTCTCCATCATCTTCTCGAGCATGCAGACATCTCTGGAAGCCGGACCGATCGTGCAGATGATTCCGGATTGTCTGACGAAAGCCGTCTTCGAGCTGACATCCAACGTGCACATGTGATCCAAGTGCGAGTTGGCCTCGTAGGTCTGCAGTTGCATCGGTAGCACGTTCATGTTGGCTATCTGCAAAAGAGAAACGAGAGGGTAATTGATTTACGAAATTGTGAGCTATATAGTTCAAAGATTTCGACGCTTTCCACGACCTGCGGCTTCACATCGTAAACGGTCGTCCAAACCATTCTCGCCGCAATCGATAACAATGGAAATTCCTGCTGCTTCTCACTTCGCACGCACCTGAAAACTGTTCGACGTTGCTGCTGCTGCTGCAACAGACAGCCACCGCCGCCAACAACGAAGCTTCGCAAAGCCCCTACCACCACCCGTTCTCTCATGCCGTTGTTTACATTCGGAGCAACTATTCAACGATTTCTATATATTTCTATCTCCACTAGCAGAGGAATCCTCCTTTTATAATTGTGCGCGATTCCTAGCGTGGGCGACCGCAAACCGAAATATTGATCCGAATCCTTTCGCCAGCCAGGTCTATTTTCGTGAGGCCAAAATATTTCAGTTCGGTGGCAAAATGTCAGTCGTCCCGGATCCCTGACAACTGGGCGATACTCACATTTTGGTACCAATAACTTGCGTCCACCATCTTCGAAGAACCACCAGCAGAAAGAAGAAAAAACACACACAAAAAGCGACGAAAAATCAGACGTTCGAAGATGCAGCAGCTGCAGGATCAAATAAATATTACAGTCGCATCTCCATGGTGAAATTCGCATAATTCGCAAAAACAAAAACTAATCTACTTGATTGTCTTGTTTTGTTACATATTTTCCATTAACATACAATAACCGCCTCCTCCTTTTTTAATCAGCTATGACCTACTGGGATTCCCTGCAAAACCTCAATTTTCTCGTTCTTATTCGCTTCATTTAGTTAATTGTTACAATCGAGTTTTGCAATTTGTAACAATAAAAAATAAAAATGAGATTAAATAAATACGCTTTGTGTGAAGTGCGCGTTGCAAAATGTGAAATAACATATGAGTGAGCGAATGTTTGATGTAGATATCATCACTTGTGTGTTTGTTTCTACGTTAATTTTGCATTCATAATGCCATCAATTCAATTAAATTCAATTATTCGATTATTTCTGCATCTTGTTTGAATATTAGATCAATGGATTAAAAATAATCACGTTAGCTGTGTATTTATCTTAATCACTAATGTAAATGCGGCGAGTATTAAATGTGCAATCTACGTTTGTAATGAAACAGAGATTACAATTTCTTTGCAAAAAAAAAATAAAACTTTGTTGTTTTGACAAAGAAAAAAATTAATGAATGTTCATGTTATAATTCACGTAATTATGGAATGCATTTTTGGAGTCAACAACGACGTGACGCTTAGATAATCTAACTGCAGCCTCAAATTATCAGTATGTAACAGTTATTTACGCGAAAGAGTTAATAAATATTTGCGCAAAAGTGATATGTAAAAAGAAAAAAACAAACATGACTTAAATTCAATGCATCGATTGTAAACGTTTACAATAAAGATCAATGGCACCTTGGAAACACTTTTGTTTCACAAATGGAAAAAAAAAGAAAGAAAAACGCATACTTGATTGCTGGTTATTATGCAAATCGAGTTGCACAATACCTATAAATAACATCGAATCTCTTTATTAATGTAATGGAACTTCTGCCATTACATTAATTTATTAAAAAAGAAACAGCGTAAACTAGTTTTAATGTTAATCCAAAGGAAAACGTTATCTTTCCGACTGTAAAATCGCTATCAAGAGATTACATTATTGCTACATATTTCAGTTACAATTTTATTTTAATAATAAGCTGCTAAGCATTTACCAAATGCGTTATAATTTTCAAAAAATTCCTATCTTTTTCATGAAAATTTCATTTCTGACAGATAGACGCCAAAATGTTTCCATTTTGACGGCCATCTTTCGAATGACTCAAAAAAATGTAATTCATCAGGAAACGCTGAAATTACGTTAAACTATTAACGAATACTAATGAACTGTTTATGTATTTAACGAAACGCTTGGAATTAGCAACGATTTTTAACGCAATAATTACGTAAACGTCAAAACAAAGATTCGTTTTTTTTTAAACGTACATAAAGTTGCATATAATAAATACAAGTTTCGTTTGGAAAAATTATGCACAATTGCCGGTAAGTAAAGTAAATCTTTTTGTTAATTACGTAACTGGAGGTTAAATCTTAATCGGTAGATGAATATAATCAAATTAATTGATTTTATGAATTATTTTTTTTTTGATATAAGCGTGTGAAATATTTGCATTTAATGTCAAACTTATTATTAATTAGCATTGAAAATTTGATATTGTCGCTTATTAAGTGTTTATGCTATTGAAGCGTTTGAGTCTATTGATATTCATGGCACGAATCCAAATTGTTTGTAAGTAATGTTACTAATTTGTAATATAACCAATAAATCATTGTTTTTATAAGTAATCACTTAAGTCATATATTTTGTATCTTAAGATTTAAGGTCTCTTTTTTTTTGATTGGTTGAGCAGGTAGGTCAATGGAGAAAAGGTGTTGCTTCGACATAAGCAAACAGCTTACTTCATGCTTTAAGTAAGATAATAACTTGTTACTTAAACTACTGTCGTTTATTTACCTTGCAAGTAGAGATTCTCTGATAATTGTGCACTGTAATCGTTTCACCGTTTCTTTATGTTGTTGTTGTTGTCGTTGGGGGATGCTGTGGAGAGATGCGGCTGCGAAACTGGAATCTTTCGGGTCGAATGAATGTCAGTTGTACGAACTGAGTGTGTGGATCACACAGTCATATGCACTAGACGTGTACACTGTGTGGTAGAGACGTGTAGAAAGGACGAGGAAGTGGGGAGGGCAAAAGTGCGCTGCCATTTCTCATACGACAAACATTTAGAAATAAAAACCAAAAAGAAGAAACGAAAGAAGTTTTGCATGCAGAAATCATGTAGGAAATGGATGAAAACATAACATGAAACAAAAAAAAAAATAAATAAAATTGATTGGAGAAATAATAATAATACTCGCGTTCGCGATATATAAGTTTTAGTATAGGAGTGAGTTCGTATTATCAATGGAGGCGATAAGATTAAGTTTCGCATACATTCACAATTTTGCTAAATCTTATTAATACTCAAAAAAATACTGTAAAATCTCAAAAAAAATAAAAAATGTGTACTATATAGTTTATTTCAGTTTTCTTCAAGTTGTATAGTTTATTTACTATAATTTCTACTTTCACTTTAGAATTTATAGTTTTCTAAATTGAATACTTTATTTAGTTTAGATTATATAATTTATTAATTTTTCTAAACTGTTAGTTAAAAACTACAGTCGTTTAGTTTACAAAAATCTCTTCATAAAAGTTTTGAAAATTTACTTTCGAATTTATATAGTTGACTAAATGAAATTTGAGTAACTATCCTAAATCTTATAAGTATTCAGCAAATAATGCTTATAATACTTATACTTATTAATACTCAAAAAATACTGTAAAATCTCAAAAAAAAATGTGCACTATATAGTTTATTTCATTTATCTTCAAGTTGTATAGTTTATTTACTATAATTCGTAAGTTCACTTTAGAATTTATAGTTTTCTAAATTGAATACTTTATTTAGTTTAGATTATATAATTTATCAATTTTTCTAAACTGTTAGTTAAAAACTACAGTCGTTTAGTTTACAAAAATCTCTTCATAAAAGTTTTGAAAATTTCTTTCGAATTTATATAGTTGACTAAATGAAATTTGAGTAACTATCCTAAATCTTATAAGTATTCAGCAAATAATACTTATAACTTATTATTAATACTCAAAAAATACTGTAAAATCTCAAAAAAAAAAAAAATGTGTACTATATAGTTTATTTCATTTATCTTCAAGTTGTATAGTTTATTTACTATAATTCGTAAGTTCACTTTAGAATTTATAGTTTTCTAAATTGAATACTTTATTTAGTTTAATTTTATAATTTATCAATTTTTCTAAACTGTTAGTTAAAAACTACAG